CCGTAATATTGCGTAAATCTTACGATATTGAAAACTTACGTAATATTTTAACCGTAATATCACATAAATCTTACGAAATTGTAAACTTACGTAATATTTTGAAATTTTTCGAAATATTATGCCATAAACTTTCGTAAACTTACAAAATCGTAAACTTACACAATTTTTCGCACTATAAAATTTCCTGATGTGCCAATGTTTGTAGATACTTGTGTTCATAGAGAAAATGAAGAAAGCTTCATTTATTATGAGATAACGAAGGCAGTACCAGTATCTTCTGTAAACCTATGTGGTCACAAAGGAAATGAGACTATCTTTCCTTACTATGAAACAATGTGGACAGTACCACCATGTTCTGTGGGCTCTCATGATAGTATGGGAATTGGAAGTGTTCCTGCTATCTTGGAAAACTTTAGATATACCATTCATTCCTGGAATATCCATAATGTAAAGAAAATCTTTGGCGCAAGATTCTCGTGTCCACCTAAGAGTCCTGAACTTATCACCAGTGGTCACACTTTACTAATCCTCTTAGTTGACTTTATTCGTTCTACGGCAAAGAACACTATGTACAAAAAGTTACTCCATTTCCTCATTTTGACAAAACTCAGTCTTTCTATATACACACATATGTCAAAAAAATTTGGAAACAGAATAACTTGTGGCCAACATCAAAAAGAAGAGTATTCTCGAATGGCATTATTGTCCGTTCTTGTTAAGATATAGTAATCCTTGTTATATACATACAAGATAAAAAAAAGAAATACGATTAGTATATTATAATATAAAAAAAAACAAGATAATTACCTGCAAATATAGAACCATTTTAGATCTCTTCTATGAACTCCTAATACTATTATATCTAATACAAAATCTATTAAAATAAGTGGGTAAAAGGTAATCGTCGAGAAATTTCTTTCTTTTAGGAACTTGTTTCTCGCAACAAACCATATAATTAGTAATAAAACTAATTCAATTATAACTCCAATTAATATATATCTATATTTATACCATAAATGTACTGTTTAAATATTTAAACGTGTGCATTAGTAATTAAATACTATAAGCTATAATAACTTTTAATTAAAAAAAATTAGATAGCTTAGTTGTTAGGTCATGAGACATGATAACTGAGTTATCTGGTTCGATTCTTAAGGTAAACAAAAATAAAAAAATAAAAAAATAATATGCCGTATATTAACGGCAATGTTGATAGCGTTGAACAACAGTATATAATGTGTTGAACTACACATTAAAGTTGAACAACGCATATATTTATATTATGTGCTGGTAAACTCCAGTATACAGGTGTTGATTCACACCAGTATACACGTTGAATAACTATTTTCTATAAGTATCTGAAGGACTTGGTTTAGCTAGTGTTGATCAACATGTATACTGGTGTAAGTCAACACTTCTAAAACTTGCTGATGTGGTTGATGTTTTTCTTCTTCCTTCCTCACCAACTTCACCTTAGTGAAGTTTTTTAATCAGATTAAGTTAGCCAAATCAGGAAAGGCATAATTAGTTTGTATGAGATAGTACTTTTCATTACTTGATGTCCTGTTTTTTTCCTCCCTCACCGACTTCACTTTAGTAGGGTTTTTAAATCGGATCTAAGCAGCCGAGCAGGAGCCTTTCATAAATGAGAAGGGTATGGGTTACTTCTCAAATTTCCTTACATCCTGTTTTTTTCTACTCTCACCAACTTCGCCTTAATGGGATTTTTAAATTGGACTTAATCAGCTGCATAAGAAAGCCTTTTTTGTCTGCAGTAGAGATTAGAATCGATTTTATAATAATTGAATTTATCGAAAATTGATAATAATCAATTTTAAATCGATTATCGAATAAAAATCGAATTTACTTATTGTAGCGCAGTAGCGTTAATAAGATTTCCCTACAAATATTGGTTTTGTTTTGGTTGACAAAAACCTATTTGTCACACATTATTTGTTATATAGTTAATTTCTTAATTTCTTAATGCCGGCCATTTTGTGACATTTTGGGGGTAGTCCATTAATAAGAAGTTAGATCGTTATTACATGATATTAACAAAAATCCAAAAAAGGAAATTTGTTGTCTAATGAAATTCAAGTTATGTTGTACAAAATTCCCAAAAAGGAAATTTTTTATGTCAATCCTAATAATCTTGATAGTTACGTGACTGGCAGCAGTAGTATAATTTCGATTAATAATTAATTAACGATTAATCGATTCTAAAATCAATTCTAAAATCAATTTTAATAATGATAATCGATTCCAATCCCTAGTCTGCAGATAGTATTTCTCATTATCTGACGTCCTGTTTTTTCCTCCCTCACCAACTTCGCCTTAGTAAGGTTTTTTAATTGGACTTAATAAGCAGCCGAGCAGGAATCTATTTTTTAGTCATCATGATTATGAGCTGAAAGGTAGAATTTATTTCATTAGTTCTGAAGAAGGAACCGATTTCACTAATAAATTCCCTTCACTCACTGGCCATGTTGAATTGATCTATTTGATTATATCAATTTGATACTAACTTTAAAATTGTTTTATTATTAATAATAAAAAGATTCAAAAAATGCCAATTTATTGTTAAAAAATCCCAAAATTTTAAAGATTTCTATGAAGCACTAGAAAAATGGAAGAAGTAAGAGAAAAAATGAAAACATAAAAAAAAGAAGAATGACAATTTGGTGAGAAAAATATTTTATTCATTTGTTAGATGATTTTTTTTTGAATTTATATATTAATTAAATATTATTACATCAGGAATTCAGGATAATAAAGAACGGGCTCTCTCTCTTAAAGAGAGAGAGCTCGATTTGAAAGAACGAGAAATCTCCTTAAGGGAGCGAGAAGTAAAACTCCACAATGAATCATAATCAAAATTGACTAGGTCGATTACATAAATACAATCTTGGATACTTTTCAATATGTAAGGAGTTTACTTAAATTTGATAATTTTAATTATAAAAAAAGAATGGTAAGCTATGTAAAAATAAATGAAACGATCGACACATGACACATGTCCTGCAGATGTTAAATTCGATTTATATAAACTTAAAAATTTTTAGCTTTTAGTTGATAATTAAAATTATTTAGCATTACGTGCATTAATTGGCTAGTTTACCAATAAGATTTTCTAAAAATTAAAATAGTATTATTTCTTTTTATTACAGTATTGTTTATATTGTTACTTAGCTCTTGGCAAAGAAAGTTACTAATTATTCAATCCAAATAATCTTTATGATTTTTTAACACAATGGCATGATGGTGATGATTAGTAAATATTTTTTGTTTAAATCTAATAATATTATAAAAAACTTGTTTTTTAATAAAATCAAACTTTGATATTATTTAAGTTAAAAAAAAAAATATTTTTAATAAAAATGTTCATTTTTAAATTTTTTTTATTTTTAATTAAAAAATATACACAGTGAAATTTGATAAACCGGATCTATTGGTTCTACTAAAAATATCTGGTTTATCAGGATATCTGGTATAGTGAAAAAATTTCGATATATTGAAAATTTATTATACTGAATTTTTTTAAAAAAATTTATGCCAATAAAACTAATATACATTATATCTTAATTTTTCATTCTAGTTTTAAATCACAGCAGTCATGAAAATAAATATAAAATGTTTTAATTGAATATATAAGTAATATATAATTTTGGCCGGAATTAATTCCAGCCAAAATTAAGATTTACTGCATCACGTTACTTAAATTTTATTGGATAATGATCATATGATCTTGTTTATCGAATCATTTTTACTATAGCTGATTAGATAATTGATCTGTTATGACGGTATAGAAAAAAACTCTTTCAGACGATCGTTAAAACCAAAATTTTTTCAGAAGAAATATTGATAAAAATACTCATTTCTTCATAGACAAGTGTTATTTTTTTACCTTTTTTTGGTATCTACGCTCTTCCCGGAACCTATTCATATGAGTTTTGCTATAGGAAAAAAAATTTCAAAAAAATTCTTAAAAAATATTGAAAAATCTTATCACACAGTTACTAACAAAGAAGACATATACTTTACATATTCTTCCTCCAAAAAGAATATCACTATGACCAATAATCAACAACAAAACAATCCTCAACCACTAATAATACCGAAATAGTAGACACTACTATGGACGAAGCTAATGAGAGCTCTTCTACTCACGCCCTCTCTCACAGTGAAATCGAAATCACATCACGTGACTTAAATAATAATGATTTACACAAGCAAACACCAATAGATGAAAACCTTACTCTTATGGATGAAGATCCTATTGAGTCTAGCACTAATAAAGGCAAATCACCTGAAACACAAACAGCCACACAAACAAATATACCTGAACAGATAGAAATTACTGTGCTAAATGACATATTCAAGAATAAATCACAAGATTTAAACAAAGTACACAAAGGATTCATACCTAATGATAGTTTCAAACCTGAAATGACAAACAACGAAATTATCAACCTCCTTTTAAGACGTTATTTTTAAATGACGCAAATGCATACAAATTCGAAATTAATTTAACATCTACATACAAATACTTCACTATATACTTCGGAACACATGACTCCTTAAATCAATATATCGAAAAAAGCCCTAATGGTCTTCAAAAAATTAAAATTTATGAATTAACCAATACAGCTATAAACACCTTAATCGAACGAAAATTCGAACATTTAGATCAGGCCGTCATCAAAATTATGGATATACCATTTAATTACGATACATCAATGCTTTTAAAACATCTTGTCACTAAAACAGGAAGCAACATCATCGAACACAAAGAAATTAAAAAATCTCCAAGAAAAATTCCAAATCGAAATAGACAGGGTCGTCCTATTTTTATTAAACCAGCTTATAAACAACTTATAGTCCGATTCGACCAACAATCAGCTTTCGATTACTTTATGCAAGAAAATTATTGGAGCCTAGAAATAGAAAACTTTGTAGTAAGAATTTTACTGGGCAACCAAGACAATCCTGAATATAAAAAACAGGACCCCGGATATCTCCAAAACAGGTCATAAGTCACACTTTCGGCAGATTGGCCCATTTTTTAGGGGCTCAAAAAATCGTTTTTTGTAAATATCTCGGCATCCAGTGGTCCAATTTTGATGAACTTTTTTTTAAATTGTAGAGCTAAATGAGGGCTACAAAATAAAAAAAAGTTTATTAAAATTGAATTACTGGATGCTGAGATATTTACAAAAAACGATTTTTTGAGTTTCAGCAAAAAGGGGTGTTTTTGGCCAAAAGTCCATTATGACCTTTATATTAGATATCCGGGGTCCTTAAAAAACGTACCAGCAAATACTTCAGAGTTACTGGACTTCCACTCAATACCACTGCTAGAGATATTGAACCACTTATCAAATACATTTACGGACGTACTTGTACATTCACACAAACCACCCGAAATTCAACAATGAAAAATGCATACATCTACGTAACACCTGAAAATTATCCTGAGGGATCAAAAAATGGAGCCTCTTTAATATTTGAAGGACACACAATCCACATATTTCCAGGACACGTATCAATTAAAACTTGCAATATATGCGGTTCACCTCTTTACGCCTCAAATGAATGTGACGATAAAAACTTTATAACAGATAAAAATAACAGAAAAATCTTTAAAAAAAGATTTATAGATCGCAAAGAAGAAAAAATCACGATCAATGAACAATCAAAAAACAAGTACAACCATGTAATTTCTCTAAACTCTAATAATAACACATTCACTAGCCCACAAAACATCAGATGTACACAACTGCAAACAGGAATCCAAAATCATCAACAACAATCAGGAAATCTATTATATCCACGTAATGGACAACAACAACGTAATATAACAGGCAATGACATGAATAACTATAAAAGGGACCATATGTATAACACCCCACATCCAAATCAACCACATGTATCATCAGATAATGATACAAATCAACGAATCACACAATTAGAATTACAGGTCAAACAGCTATTGAATAAGATTAAGACGATGGAAGAAGAAAAATCCAATACAGATACTAAAATTTCAAATATTAATCACAACTACGATACCTTAGAATCGTCCATCACCGACGTCAAATCAAGACTTGACAGATACGATAGTATATTACAACATCTTACAAATAATATAACAATACTTAGTAAAAAAGTAATGACTACACCAAAACGCCCCTCCAAAGTCGTTAAAAGAACTACAGTCAACTCTCTTTATAGTCACACATTTGGGACAGTCCATATTTGGTGATTATGAGCAAACAGTCTTATGACTTTATCTTTTATTATAAATTNATTTGGGACAGTCCATATTTGGTGATTATGAGCAAACAGTCTTATGACTTTATCTTTTATTATAAATTTATAATCGAAAAGTACAAAACTCAAATCGAACAATATTACAAATAAAATATAGAAAATTAAACATAAAAAATAAAAAAACTAGCTTCACGATTCATACAAGTAAAGAAATCTAAACAAAATAAAATTAAGTAAAGAAAAACTAAACTATTACAGAAACGCATACCCCAACTTTACCCGAAGGCCAGTGTGAGTCAACTATCCAGCATATCCAAAGATCCAATCCGTTACCAAAAAGAAATCCTAAGTAGAGGCTGAACTGTTAAGCGGCGCCAAAAATCCAAATGCGAAATCCAAGATCCCCCATGGATTATATAAGAGAAAACCCAAGAAACCCAGGAATCCAAGGAAGCTGTCGCCAAGGAAGGTGTCGAAATTGCAGGAGAAATTTGCGAGAAATGATGAGAAGTAGGAGAAGGTCCAATAGCGGACGATTTCATTTTATTGGTAATGCCTTGAGCTGTTTTCCAATGATGAAAGAAAATGGAACAGCACAACCAGATTTGTACGTAGAGATCAAAATGAAAATCATGTAAAGGTGTATCAAAAATAGAACAAATAGTGGATGATGAAAAATATGTTCCAAGAAAACTAGTAAGAGACATCGGTATAAGTCCACGTGTAAGTCGCAGACAAGAATATGAAGGAGGGTCACATTCCCAACAATCCATAGCCGTAAATTCCACAGCAAAGGAGTCCAGTAAAGATTTCAAAGGAGTCGCGGAGAGAAATTTTCCAAGACAAACGGTTCTAAGGTCTAGCAGAAGTGTTTTAAAAGTATTAAAAGGACTAAATTCAGGTAAAATATAAGGACAAGTCCATAAGTGGTCTAAAGTCTCAGGAGAGGAGTTGCACTGAGGACAGAGCCAACTCGGATCATAGATATGAGGCTTTCGTCTTTGAAGAGTTGTGAGAGTCGGAAGCATATCCAATAAAATCTTGATACGGAAAGCACAAAATTCAGACTGGCCATTTCGATAGGAGGATTGTAATTGTTTATTATTAAAACAAAATTTGGTACAAGCCCAATCAATATCTGAAATAGAGGAATTAAGATTGAATCTTGGTAATAAAGCAAGAGTCAAAAGACTCTTGGCGGCAAAAATATCTCCAATAAATTTCCGGATATTCATATCCACAAATAAAGAATTAAATTGTAAAATGCAAGGAGCCAAAAATGCAGGCGGAATAGGGGAAAGACGTGAGTCTGTATGAGCAGCTTTCGCTAAGTCATCAACATGGTTATTCAAAGAATCGTCAGCGTGAGCAGGAACCTTGATTAAAGAAACTTTTAGATTCTTTTGTGAGATAATAGCTCGTGCCGAAGACCATAGAAGGTGGTTAAATTCTTTAAGCATTTTAGGAATAAACGAAGCATCCACATACATAGACCATAAGGAAATTAATTGAGCACAATCAGTAGCGACAGTAATCTTGGAATACCGAGGGAGGGAGTCCAATCCATGCAATAAGGCAAAAATTTCGGAATGCAATGCAGAAGGAAAGAGGGAAGGAATGATATTATAATGAGATTCAAGAATAAAACTATCAGAATCAATAGCAGTCCATGCATAAGCCATCGAAGGTGTTGGATGACTAGAAGGAGGAAGGAAGGATCCATCAATATACAGTGTAGACACCGAAGAAGGAAGTTGGATATCAGAAATCCTAGACACTTGGTTAAGCATAGGAGGTAGCCGAACTGGAGCAAAAAGATAAAATAATAAAAGAGATTTGGCATAGCCTAATGAAGCGGAAAGTAAGACCGAACGAGTATCCGCATGTATATAAGTACGAGGCTTCGTAGGGTAACGGAGAAGACATGATAAAGGCACATAAGAGAAGCACTTTTCAGAGGGACATCGTTTAAGCAATGTTTTGGAAGTAAAGGATCGCGGAATAGCAGAGGCACAACCTTGGCATGCAGTGAATTCTGATAATAAGTCATCAGCAGATGACGCAATCCAATGTGAAATAAGAGCTTCATTTCGCGGAGCAGGATAGGTAATGATCACACGGCCAACAAGGAAAGAGTTAGTATCGCGATTAAAAAAAATAGCCCATTGTGGATTAAACAAATAATTTCGACTAATATCTATAGAACAGATAGAAGCAACAGTATAGGAATTAGGTATTCTAAATTGCGGTAAAAGAAAAAAGGAAGAAGAATTAGAAGTAACAACTAACATATGGGCTGATTTGTCTACCTTTAATTAAAATATTGATTTTATTACATTTTTATTATACAAAATACTATATAATATACAGTAAATTGGGGATGAGTATTAAAAAATTTTTATTTAATGTTATTATACTATAATTTGGTAAATATTTCTTTTAAATTAATATAATTCTTAGCACTTACTATATATGTTAAAAATTTGTATTTCAACTTTAAACGTAAATATCTCCAGATCCAGTGATCCAATCGGCAAGCTCTTTTTTCGTTCATATAGACCAGATCAAGGGCTTTCCAAAGAGCCTAAATTTATAAAAAATGGATTAGTGGATCCCAAGATATTTGCATTTAAGCATGTTAAAAAGTTCGTACCTCAACTTTAAATGTAAATATCTCTGGATCTAATGATTCAATCGGCGAGTTCTTTTTTCGCCTATAAAGTCCAGAACAAGGGCTTTCCAACGAGCCTAAAATTATAGAAAACGGATCAGTGAATCTTGATATATTTGCATTTAAAGATAGTAATACAAACTCCTACATAAAATAATTATTTTTATTGTTTAAAAATATCTATTATGATACCATCTTTTATATGATATTTTTATTATATTTTTATAAACATTTATAGCTGCTAAGACTATATAAATTTTTATTTTACTTTATATTTTATTAAAATATACTTACTTTTTAATAATATATGTTAAAAATTCCATATATATAAGAAATGGGTTTTTTATTAGTGAAATGGGTTTTTTCACAGCTTTTTTACATTTAATAATTTAAGTTTCGCAAATGTAAATTTTTGTTCAACTTATTATTTAGTCAAGTGATCATCAATCAGATGATTTTTTGGTATTACAAAACAATTTTGAGTAACAAAAATTATGAAAATCAATTTAATAACTCCTTTTAATGCAGAGTAAACAAATCAGCCCATATGAAT